AACAAACACTGCTTCTATGCAGCTGAGTAGTAGATTCAGGAGAACACGTGAAGCCTGCACCCGAGTACATGTCTTACTCTGTGAGCGAAAATTAATCTTCCTACAGCTTCTTTCAAGATCTGAAGTTCTTCTCAGCATTTTTGAGGCGCAAAATGGTAAAACGAGTTGCAGGATGCATGCTGCATGTTGATCTCGACGCGTGCTTGTCCGCCAGTTCTGTCTGTTCCGCAGCTAAGTAAGCCGAAAAAAAACTGAAGCCCTATATGGACAAAGGTGTCGGTCCTCGCGTGGCTACATGTTGTTTTGTCTCGTGTCGCTAACTGGGGTCCTATGCAGTTACTCAGAGAGCCCTCCGCGTACGCACACACAGCAGCAGCCTAGAACCTGCTGACAGGTGGGCTGATTTCTTGATCAAAGACCAACTTACGTGTGGCTGGCGAATGCCGCTGCTCGAATAGGCACTCCATATTACCTCCAAACCCGTTATACTACCTCGAGAAACTATAGACTTCATAAGCAATTCTATTTATTGTACATGGAATGTACACTATTTGTTCGAGTGGCCAAACTATTGTGCCAGCATACGACCCCGCGTCATCTCGTTTCCCTTTCTCCATCACAGAATCAGCGAATCACGGTGGATTGGCAGGGGCTACAGTAGAAGCACAGTTCGTCCTTGGAAGTAGCTGAAGCCTGAAGCTCTAAACATAGGTACCTCAGGGTCCTAGAAAATGCTGTATGCATATAGGGTGTGCATCTCAGGGAGTTGCGATTAACCTGTTGGGCACAAGTGGAGGACATCTGTGAAGCGATGGTTTGACAACACACGAAGAGGTTTCCTGGTCGAAATATGTGGTAAGCCCCAATATTGCACCAAAAAACAAACAGAGTACGACGCGGGTTGCATTTTCCAGCTGGCAGGACGGTCATCAGAATAAAATCGCGATGCCGAATGTCACAATGGCAAGAGCAACAAAACTTGGAGCTGCTATCGATGCGGAGCCTGTGAGGGAAGATATGATCCTGTCCCACTGCTCCTGCCTGCAAATCACCCGCAATCCCGTAGACAATATTCACTTCAATTCATAACAATGGAGGCGTTGTGGGCAGCACTGAGACGCAAGGACCAGAGTGTTGCTTACGTGAATAAAGCAGAGCCGTTACTTCCAAAAACAGCAGGCATCGTCTTGCAAATCAACGCGTAACCATTCTTCGTAGTTCCGTCATCAGCATAAGTTGAGAGCTGCCCACCACCCCCACTACCCCCACCACG